CCCCCCCCCCAAGAAACAGCCAGACGGAATCTCCCTCCTCCCAGCAGCCGAGAGCTGTCTGGCTAAAGCGAATGTAACCATTTTTCTGTCGGGTGGAATGGAGGATAAACTTTTCCTTTGAGTTGGGGAGCCTGGCCGTGGCGAGGGGGAAAAACGACCACTGCTTGTGTTACAGGTGCGAATGGTGAGAGGGGAGCTTGTGGACGAGTCGGGGGGTTCTCCTCTGGAGTGGATAGGGTTAATCCGGGCAGCCAGGAACTCCCAGGAACAGACGCTGGAAGCTATTGCAGACTTACCCGGAGGACAGGTACTACAGACTCCTCCACTACCAATTCTTTCTTCCCAACCATCTCTATAAGGTGAACACTCAGTATTAAGAATGAAATGCTTTGTCTAGAGGGGTCATTTAATCGTCCCAATAATCCTATCAGGTAGATATGATTTGTGTTAGTTATCTAATGATGCTATAAAAGAAACACCATAAGTGGACGGCTTTAACAGAAGTTCAATCTCACACTTTAGAAGGCTAGAAGTCCAAATTTAGAGCACAGCGTTCAGAGGAAGGCGTTCTCTGTGGGCTCTGGAGGAAGGTCCCTATCTTCTCAGCTTCTGCCTCCCTGCTCCTTGGAGATCTTTATGTGTCTTGGCATCTATCTCACCCCATCTCTTCTTTAGCTTGCTTGTTTAATCTCTTTTTTATCTCAAAAGAGACTGATTAAAGACACATCTTACACTAATCCTGTCTCATTAACATAACGACAAGCCATTCCCAAATCCGACTATAACCACAGGATTTACAACACATATTTTGGTGGGACACAACTCAATCCATAATACTATTATTATTTTGGAGGAAAATGAAGGTTAGAGAGGTTCAGTCAAACAGTGTCAGAATTCGATTTGAACCTTTCCTCTTATTCCTCCTTTGCCTGATTACCCGGGAAATCTATTTCTTGCATCTCAGATCTTCTACCAAACACTTCGAGACGTCCAACCAGGGGAGGAACTGACTGTGTGGTATTCCAATTCCTTGGCTCAGTGGTTCGACATCCCCACAACTGCTACTCCTACACACGACGAGAAAGGTACCGCCTCCCGGAAGGCCTCCAGGCCAGCTCAAGTGGGGGAGTTCAGTACTCTTCTGGGCTTTTGGTGTGTCATCAGATCTTTCCCTCAAGTTGTGTAAAAGTGAATTCATGCTCCCTGTGGATGCAGTCTAGATGACCCCCACTTCTTTAACATCAACAGGCACTAATAATCTGGCTCACAATGACAGTGAAAAATATTCTTCAAAAAATACCATGCTGAACTTCCTTTATTTATTGAATACCCCAAAAGACAATTATTTACTCAATTAAAAATCAATAGAAAAGCTTTAAAATATTATTACAGTAATTGCATCATGGACTCAAGAATATAATTTAAACCTGGAATACTTTTAAAAGGTGGAGGAGCAGCAATAATTCACTGGTTTGGAGGAGAGGAATGTATTTCTACAGCATTTTAGAAACATTACGGTACTTACAGCTGGTCAGTTGGCAGGTACTGAGGCCCTTCCATTTAAATGGTATTTATTCATTTCCCCCTCCCTACTTAAATTGAATCTGGGATGTATCCCAGTTTCTTCTCAGATTTATTTGATCCCTTCCAATGCCAAGAGCGGATTTATGCAAATTAAGGTGCAGTGAGAAAAACATTTTCAAACCTTCCCTAGAACACTAAGAAGACTTCATGTGGAAGGAAGGCTGGGAGGTGCTAAAATATTTTAGGTCTTGATACTCCCTTTCAATACACCAAGCTTCCATGGCTTTCCTTTTTCCTTGCAAATTGTTCTAGTTTGTGATTTCTCCCAAAGAAGCTTATGATTCAATGTCAGCATAATGAATGCTGTAAAATATTTCAATATACTGTCCTCTTGAATTCCCTGCTCAATCTCATCCTTTTAGAAATGAGTTTAAAGAAATTAAAACAAATGTGGGAATTAGGAAACACTTCATGAACAAGACAAAATTAAGCTTATTCAGAATGAGTCACTTCAGCTTAAATTATCCTGTCCTCTGTAGATTAATTCTATTGACTTTGTGAGTAAATCTGTAGGTACAGTATTCATAAAATTATCCTGAGAATGTCTGTTATTTGCATCACATTATATTAAATTCCTTTGTCAACTTTTTCCAGTAAAAGAGAAGCATGACATAAGTCTTACAGTGAACTCACAAATCTGCCACTACAGTGCAATTTGGAGGGCTGTCTTTAGGGTTTAGCTATTACTGTACAGGATGCTCTTCCTCTGCACACCCAACTGGCACAAAAGTAACTTGTTTGAATAGTGGCCCTCATGATTTGATTTCTGCCAATTAAGTTTATAAATGTCATATGGTAATAGATGTCAAGATACTCACCATTTTCTTTTTGGGGAATGTATAGATTTTACTGAATGTACAGTGTTTCATAAAATTATGAATTTTCTGACCACTCCAGCTTGAGATGCTTGAAATCTTGCCCTCTTAGAGATGCAGGAAAGAGAGGAAGCAATCTACTTTTGGGCAATCTACTTCCATAGTGATACCGCCTTGGAAACCCAAGGAGGGGTCATTATGAGTCTGACTCAATGGCACATAGCAACAACAACAAGAAGCATGAATTGAATCTCAGAGCATGGAGACATATTCTGGTTAGGAAAAAACATAGATGGGACATGTTCAAATAGGAAATACACATTTGTTTAAATCTTGCAAAAAGGCAGAAATAAGTAGGGATGGCTACCATTCTTCCACATTGGCTAACTTCAGTGGGTTTCAGTTTCATAGTAAGATTAAAGAAAATACTGACGCTCTGCTTTAGGAGCAAAGCTTACCTGACTTTGCAATGAACTGAGTCACTGAGAAGCAGTTTCTGAAAACTACCTTTAGAAGAGGGGGTGGTGGGAGGGAGGTTTTTAACTTAGGAGAATGGAGTTTATTTAAGTTATTAAATCAACAAATCTCCTAAGAGAACTCTGGAGGCCTCTTCTTTCTCTCCCTCAGGATTTATTTGACATGGGGGTTGATTAGAAGGTAACAGGAATGCAGATCGCTTTTACTGAAGTATTCCATAGACAACTAAGATCGAGTACCTGGCAAACTCTCTTATCTTCTTTTTTTTTCCTTTCTGATCTCTCGGCCTCAGCTAGAATAAATAGCTCCTTGTTTGAAATTTCCATTTAGTTATATGGAGGACTATTTGCTTGTGAGCAAGGAGGAGATTTAAATTTAATGAGACTGATGTATACTTTGGATACTTTCTTGTGGCTCGCCTAACTTTTCACAGACATCCTTCTCTTCATTATTACCAACCAACCACAGCATTTTAAAAGAAATCCCAGTTTCAATATTGCTCTTGTCTGCAGACATGTAGTATGTCCTTTTCAGTGATTAGTTCCCACCATGTGATCAGAATCTGTTTCATAATGAGTCTCTAGATTTCATCTACAGGCCCTGGCAAAATTAAGAACAATTAATGCTAACAATATTAAACACAAAAAAGGATCTGACACCAAAACATGTATGTAATCCTAGAAAAAAGGGATAGCATTATTAAGAAAATTGTGCACTTATTTAAAAGGTGAATGTTCACATATTCAATATTATATATATATATACATATATATTCATGCAATTAAAAATGGAATCTTCTCCAAGGACTTTACCAAGAATTTTTTGCACATATCTAGGAATTATCAGGTGGAACAACTGACAAGATAAATGCAACATCATCCTTCAGTTTTTACAATATCAAGATGTAGCACTTTTCCCCTCCTCCCACCAATTTAAATGAGGTCAAAGAGGAAATAAAGATACAAATAATTTTGAAGAACAGTCCCTATGTGGTCCTTCAGTTGGTCACGCTCCAGAAAAACCTCAGGCAAAGTGCTTAAGGACGGGAGGGGGTGAGAATGGTGGGTAGTTGACACAAAAGCCATTGTTCTATGAAAAGGAATGATTACATATGGCCCATACATACAGGATATTGTCTCGCCTGGTAATGAGGCGCTCACGACCATTAGATTGGCCTTTGTTCAGTTTATCCAAACTCCTTGACATACGCCACCTATTCTGCTAACGCCAACAGATGGGCCCGGGCAAGGCACAGCCTCAACACTTGATTTAAAGCAACAGCTGCTCTCTGCTCTTGTCTCTTCCCGGGCCAGCCTGGCTCATCGCTGCCATCCCAACGAAGATTTGTTCGGCTGCCCCTGAGCAAGTCTTCGTTGGAAAGGCCCAGGTCATCCCACTTCGCCTCTAAGTAGCCCCAGATGATGGAGATGGTGACAAGGGTGGCCATTTGGGGCTTTTCCTGGTCCTTGCTACTGTGGGGCTATCCGATTCATTTTTTCGCGGGGACCCAAGAATACTCCTACTTCTCTAGCTACTGCTGGGCAAAATCTGGACTTTGCCTAGGGCGCGCAGGCGCTTTCTTTTATTTCCGCTTGTTCGCCTCTCACGAAGTCGCTCTTCTACTCTTTTTCGCCCAGGGGAGGAGCGCTACATTTGCTGGTACTGCTGGAGGACGTTTAGATATCCCAACAGCCTTAAGGCTCACCTACGCTTCCACTGCGTGCTCAGCGGCGGCCGCGCCTTCCTGCACCATGAGCACGCGGCTCGCCAAGGCGTCAACCCAGCCCCGGATGGCCTTCGCCTCTCTCCGAAACCCTCGACGCCTGACTTCTCCGGGGTCATCTCGACGGACACTCTGCGGCCCCATCCGCAGGCACCGTCGCCCCCTCAGACCTGCGGGACGCGGGAGGGCATCAAGCGCGAGGTGTCCTCCGCGCCCTCAGCCACTTCGTCGCCCCCGGGCAAGTGGGGGCCGCCCAAGAAGGGCAAGGAGCAACCGGAGCGCGCCCTTGACATGAGCGGGGCCGCTCGCGGACACTTTCTCGGCATCGTGGGCAGCTCCCCGGTGGGGGGCGGGGGCCTGGCCTTCTATCCCGGCGTGCACTCTGCCTTCAAACCCGCTGGCTTAGCCAGGGCGGTCACAGCCGCGCACGGCGACCCCTACAGAGAGGAGAGCACTGGCAGGCCAGGGACCAGTCTGGCCTTGGGCAGACTGCTGGGCGGGGGCCGGCAGGTCGGGCGCCCCCGAAGCGGGGAGAACGCGGGGGCAGGTGGTGCCAACCACCATCATCATCACCACGCGCACCACCACCACCACCACCCCAAGTGCCTGCTCGCGGGAGACCCGCTGCCGCCCCCTGGCCTACCATGCTCAGGAGCTCTGCGTGGCTTTCCTCTGCTCCCAGGCCCCGCGGATGAGGCATCCGCTTTCAAGCACGTGGAACGCGTCCCGCCAGCTGCAGCCGCCGCGCTGCCTGGCGCACGTTATGCGCAGCTGCCCCCTGCGGCAGGGCTGCCCCTTGAGCGCTGCGCGCTGCCGCCCCTCGACGCGGGAGGGCTCAAGGCCTACCCAGCTGGCGAGTGCAGCCACCTGCCAGCCGTCATGCCGACCTTCACAGTCTACAACGGGGAGCTTCTCTACGGCTCCCCGGCCGCCGCCGCTTATTACCCGCTTAAACTGCACTTCGGCGGGCTACTCAAATACCCCGAGTCCATCTCCTACTTCAGCGGGCCCGCGGCGGCGGCAGCGGCAGCGGCAGCAGCCGCCCTGAGCCCCGCTGAGCTGGGCTCCCTGGCCAGCATCGACCGGGAGATAGCCATGCACACGCAGCAGCTGTCGGAGATGGCGGCCGGGAAGGGTCGCGGACGCCTGGACGCGGGGGCGCTGCCGCCCGCCATGGTGGCGAGCGGTGCAGGGGGTGGCGGGGGCGTGGGCAAGCCCAAGACCGGGCACTTGTGCCTCTACTGCGGCAAACTGTACTCACGAAAGTACGGGCTCAAGATCCACATGCGGACGCACACGGGCTACAAGCCACTCAAGTGCAAAGTGTGTCTGCGGCCCTTCGGCGACCCCAGTAACCTCAACAAGCACATCCGGCTGCACGCTGAGGGCAACACACCTTACCGCTGCGAGTTCTGCGGCAAGGTGCTCGTTCGCCGCCGGGACTTGGAGCGCCACGTCAAGTCCCGCCATCCAGGCCAAAGCCTGCTCGCCAAGGCAGGCGAGGGCGCGGACGCCGAGCCTGGCTACCCCCCGGAGCCCGGGGAGCCCAAGAGTGACAACGATAGCGACGTGGATGTCTGTTTTACGGACGACCAGAGTGACCCAGAAGCCGGGGGCGGCGAGCGCGATTCGTAATGAGGCTTCCTGAGAGGGTGGGAAAGGACGTGGACGGAAAGAAGTACTGAGGGTCTGTTCCGGGACAAATGAGGTCTTGGTAGTGAGAGGAGGGATACTGTTGACAAACCGTTTTTATTTTTCCGCGGGCGCCAGATTTGAAAGAGAAGTTCGGGTCTGGTGCTGAAACTCAGAGAAAAATTCGGAGGCAGCTTAACGAAATTCGCCACCTGGGCAGCCAAAAGACTGTTGGTCCCCCAGCGCTGCAGCTCTACGAACTCCGCGGATAGGTTCGCACTGAGTCGCTCAGGCGGTGCGTTCTCGGGGTTTAGGATCCCATTGATGCGACTGTCACAGCGCCCTCGAGAGTGCTCGATTTTAACTGCCACGTATTTTTAAATTGTATTTTCTGTGGAGGAAATTGTGCCTTTGAAACGATGTTTTTTGTGTATTTTTCATCAGCATCTCACTGCTTAGGCAAAAGACTAGTTACAATTTGGTAGATGTGACAACGGTACACGTGTTTCCATTTCATTTGTTCTCGTGTCAAAGACTGCCTCGACACACTGAATATATAGTGGTAGCAGGTGTACAAATTGGTCAAATTGCAATTATTTATAAGAGAATAATGACAAATGTAAAATATCTAAAGCATGAATCTAAGAGCACGCAATATATAATTTTAAAGAAAATGCCCTATTTGGTAGAGTGCAAATGTGGTGTATTGGTTTTATAATGAATAATGTACAGTGAACACAGTATTTTGGTCTTGGTTTCAGCTTGTGCAATCTTTAAGAAAAATAAAGATACTTACAAATGAGTTTGTTCACTTAGCAATTTCAGCAGATTCTTTAAAGGATGATTAGAAAACAATACCGAGGAAACTACAATAAAATAAATTATAGGGCATTTGAATTTAATAAACTTCTTGATTATTCATAAAATAAATTACAGCCCTACTGTAAAAGGAATATACTATTTCAATATGTGCATTTCAGAGTATCCCAGGTAATAGGCAAAACAATTGTTTTCTAAAACCATTGTTAATCCTACCATGTTTACTGAAAGAAGCACAACCTTCAATGAAAAAGAAAAAAAGTCACACTCTTTCTCCTCAAAAAGAATTATGAACTGTAGAATCACTCTTTATTTCTTATCGTGTTCTATTTTGATTTGACAGAACTTCCCTTGGGAAGCAAAAATGAAACTTGCTCAGTGCCTTTTATGATTCATGTACTTTAATATTCATCCAACAAATACTGAAGGAAGATCTATTTTATTTAGTTGGAGGTGCTAATGTATTTGCTTTATGTAGGCTTGGTTTTTTTCCACTTATTCCCCACGATCTTCTGCTGTCAGTATTGGTGTTATCTTACAGAAAACATACTCTTCAAGGTCACTGAGAGGCCCAGAATTAAAATAGCAAAGTTAGAAGGAAGGAATGACATTATTTATTGGTTTTTAAAAATTAATAGTATCTGATGGAAACTCTGGTGGCGTAGTGCCTAAGGCATTTGACTGCTAACCAGAAAGCTGGTGGTTCAAACCCACCAGCCACTCCTTGGAAGGAAGATTGGGCAATCTACTTTCGTAGAGATATCACCTCAGAAATCCAAGGGGGGGTGTTGCTATGAGTCCGATCTGACTTGAGGGCAGTGAGTTTGATTTTTGGTTTGAATGGAAGGATACCAAAGAACATAACTTTGTTGGACAAAATTGGAAGGTACCTCTCCTCCTGCACTACACACACTGTGGGGAGGATCACTTCAGTTATGTAGGAAGTGGAGGCTTAGGCAGCCCCAAAGATAAAGGCATGCACCCCAAGAATGAAAGCCTGGAAGGCTCTTCCCAGCGGTTGGTAAGAAGATTCTAGTCAGTCACTGAAGGGTCTGGATATGACCCTATTTATTTTAATCAGTCTATCAAAAAACCAAAACCAAATTCACTCCCATTGAATTAATCCCAAACTCATAGAACCCCCATTGGTTTTCCAAAGCTGTAAATCTGTACAGAAGCAGACTGCCTCATCTTCCTTCCGCAGAGGTGCTGGTGGGTTTGAACCACTGGCTTTTAGATTAGCAGCTAAATATCTTAACCATTCCCACCACCAGAGCTCCTTGTAATCATTTGAAAGTGCTCCTTATTTTCAGTATTCTGAGTACTTTGGCAGTCTCTAACCAGTTGTCTCCCTCTTGGGAACACTGCTTCAGTTCCTGGTTGTAAGCAGGGACTTTGGGACGATCACAGCAGGAGGAATGGGTCGGGGAGGATATATGACTTCTGTGGGTAGTGATCAGCAAAAATATTTCTTCTGTGGGAAAACTTATATCATGAATTAGAGGTCTTTAGTGCCAGCTGATAAAATGTTTTGCTTTGTAAAAGAAAACCCCAAAGGGGGGAAATGTGTGGAGTAGATTAACATGTAAATATGGTGATAAAGATGCTACCATTTATAACGGACCTACAGGTACTCTGTGCAGCTTTTGATGCTATTTATAATTTTTCTTTTCTGCAGAGAAGGACCCTAGACTTGCCACACTAGGTTCAGGGATGGCTTTGCCACATACAGAGAGAAGTCAACCCAAGCATCTGTCTGCTCATCTTATATTTCTCACTGCCTGCTTAATATTGTGGTCTTGCCCATTGATGCAATTGTTTGAAACCAAATTCACCTTTATGGAAGCATATTGGAAAACTTTTCTGAAGTCAGATTGTGTAAGTCTTTGGGGAAAGTGAGAAAGGCTGCCCAGATTCCAAACATGGGGAAGCCAATGTATCAGCTGTAAGTCATACCCCCCTTCTCCGATTTTTACCTCAGTAGTAACTCCTATAACTCTTGTTTTACATGAAAATAGTGTGTAAAAACAAAAATACTGTACTCAAAGGAAATACATTTAGAATTGATACAGATTTAACAAAACCAAACTGAACCTCAGCCTTCTGTCCTCCCTTTATAAATTGATAGCTATTAGAAGTTATTCAAATAAGTTTGAATATAAAAATTTAAAATTGAACATAGATTTAAAAGTGCTTAATAGATCACTTGTAATTCTCCATAGGTTGCCACAGTTGACTCATAAATTTGTCCATATGTATCTGCATACTGTCATAAATACTGCAATTGTTTAACAGCCAACTCAAGTCAGTGATACACAGTTAGTAATAATATGACTTATTTTAAATGGCTCGGTGGAATTGGTGTTACTCAGAGTACTTATTTCAGTTTCCTATCCCTTCTGTTTTGGGAGCTCTGGTAGCATAGTGCCTAAGGGCACTTGACTGCTAACCAGAAGGCTGGCGGTTCAAACCCACCAGCCACTCCTCGGAAGGAAGATGGGGCAATCTACTTCCGTAGTGATACTGCCTAGGAAACCCAAGGAGGGGTCGCTATGAGTCGGGTCTGACTCAACGGCACATAACAACAACAACAAATCCCTTCTCTTTAAGAATGATAGACTTTTAGAAATGAAAACCCTACACCTTGGTGACTACAACTAACTTTGACGGTTGTGCTAAAGCCTTTGGAAGTGTCCAAGATTTTAACCAAATAACTTTGTGCCAAAATATTAAATAGTTATCTATCTGGAGGGAGCGCTGGTGGCCTAGTGCCTAAGGCATCTGACTACTAACCAGATGCCTGGCCGTTCAAACTCACCAGCCAGTCCTCAGAAGGAAGACTGGGCAATCTACTTCGGTAGAGATATTGCCTCGGAAACCCACAGAACAGTCGCTATGAGTCAGATCCGACTACAGGGCAGTGAGTTTGGTTTGGTTTTGGTTTATCTATCTAGAGTGGATTCGGGCCTTTTAGAAGTGAATGACTCCAAATTGTTTGGACTCAGTCCATGTGGGCATTAAAATGGTTTAGTATCCCAAAGAAATAAGACAGACGACTCTGTAGTCTTGCCTCCACCACTTACTTACTAACTGGCATGGAACCTTTCTATTGCCCCAATTTCCTAATCCGAAAAACAGGGTGAAATAAGCAATAAAGCAGTTGTGAAGAGGAAATGAGTTAATGTGGTAAACTGCTTAAAATCATGACCGATATCAAGCTCTCAAACAATAATAAAATAACTGAAGTAACTCTTGAGCTTTCACTTTAAAGACATCAACGTAGAGAATAAGGACTGACATCCTTTTATCAACAGTAGCATCTTTTTGCAGGACACTTATTGTCCTGTTTGTTGGCTCACTTCAACCCTCAGAGGAACTCTCACCGACTGCAGTAAATAAACACCTTCTTAGTTTTTTGCGAAGAGTTTTGAAACTTGTTCAGACACTTTACCAGGCCGTCTTTCATAGACAATTCGTACGCAGCGCTTAAGGATAGGGGAAGAAGAATGCTCCTCTTTCCATCTCTTTGCACTAACTGCTCCAATGTTTACCAGGCCAGTGGCGAATGAAATTAAGAATGCAGTGAGGAGCGCGTGCGTGCGTTTTTCCTACTAAACGGAAAAGAGAGCGAAAAATCCAGCAAAATCTGCAGTTCCGCGAGACTCTACTTTGGGAAAAGTTTTACCTTCTAAGCGCTGAGGGAAAGAGGTCAGTGGCGGTGAGCCGCCGGGTTGGAATTCGTGAGTCTTGAACTGTGGTTCTGGATAGGTGAAGGAGAGGTGGTGGGGTTACAGAGCAGAGAGGGCGGTGACTGGCTGCGGCTCGTTATTTCCAGCGCTACCATTGGCTCATTTCTTAACAGGGTTGCTATGGGGTGGGCGGGCCGCAAGCCGCGGAGGTCTGGGTGGGCGTGGCCTTACCAGAACCCGAGCGTAGGGTAGGTGCGCCGCTAGGCCTCTTGCGCCGCATTGGCGATATCCTGGTCAGGGTTGGTGTGCCGCTCTGGCGTTCACAGCTACGCTCTCTCTGGGGACTGGAGTTTCCTTATGCACAGACTTGGTTTCCTGGTTCTGAGTTCTGGGCAGAATAGTAGGATTTGCGCCGCCTTTAGGTGTAAGTCGGGAAGCCCTGGAAGAGAGAGAGTCGCGGGAAGTCCGCGAAGCCCAGCAGGAAACAGAGGAGAA